TTCCAAAACTTTAATTCACATGTTAAGATGCTAAACCACTGCACATTCAAAGATAACAAGCCATTAATTACAGACCACTCGCTTAGAAAATAAAGTCTCTAAATTAAACCCCTAAAGATAAACATAGTGAATGTCCCTCACCCTCTCCCACCAACCTTCCCTAGCATTTGCTGCATCTGAGCTTCCACAGACACTGGGCCAGACAATGTTGATGAAGGCTAAGAAATACACCACATATAACAACTTACCTGTTTCTAGGTAACCACATGAGACCTGACATGAGTACAGGAGAATTTCTGACACCCTTCATGAAACAGTGAGGTATAAACTGTTCAAACACACACTGCTTACCACTGCTTATACTTGAAACATTTCATTTTCATTCAAAACTTAATTTGCAACAGGCACTGGTGAAGATTCGCAGCAAGAATACTCTGCCCAGCTTGGACACCGTATTTCATTAAATATGGCCAGCTCCTGTAGAGAGTCTAAATCAGAAATCAAGTCAAGAGATTTCAGAAAATTACATGTAGGTGAAGAGAAAGACTAGGGTTCATTTACCCAGGTCAAAGAATAGTAGAACTTGTATTTCAGATTACAAGAAAACAAAACAATAATTAAAAAAATTGCCCCTGTGTTCACCAAATATGAGTAAAAAATAAAAATATCAGAGGCTTAACCTGAAGCAAAGACTTCCACTACATATTGGAATATATACAGTTAACATATGAGATTCACCCTAGTGCAGAAATAGGTAAGTGCTGAAATAGGTTAACAAAGTTTCCTTTATTACATAAATTTAGGAATATCCAGATAAATAGTCAGCTAGAGATGCTGTTGTTTGCAGATGGATCTCACAGGGAAAATAGAGTAGATGAGCTGTTGAGACCCATTCCAGGTACATATTTCTACAATTTCCTATTTTCTATCACAGAAATATACTCCTGATGTTTCATTTCAGTATGTGTACACATACACACAAAGAGTATGTCTGTTTATATTTCTAAATTGTATTTCCAGAATGTGTATGTATTTATCAGAAATTTTTATTAAGGAAAAACCATAATTCCTGAGGCATGCAGTTTACCACTCCTTTAGTACATTTAACAGCTTTGCTTGTGGACTTAAAGTGAATATGAAGCAAAGGTTTGTTTGTACTCTCCAAGTATCACCAGTATTCTTTTTGAAATTTATCGTTATTACCATGCTCTTCCTAAATCTTATATCCATGCCTACAGTTACAGACTTTTGAGCTTCCAAAATTCTTTATCAAACAAGCTGATGGTGGAATCCAACTCAGGTCTACAAGTTAAAACACAATTATCAATTAATCTCTAAATATAGAAAGACTATTAAAGGACCAGCTGGCATTTTAAAATGATGAAAGCCAACACTGTTCTTTGGCATCAGCAGTAGCTGGTGTTGCTAAGCTACTGCTGCTGCCCAGACAGTTCCACACCATCAGGTATTTAATTCACACAGGCCAGTGATCTGAAGAAAAAAAAAAAAAAGAAAAAAGAAAAAGGCACTGAAAATACATGTTGAGAACAGTAAAACTCAAATCTTACCATCTGAGACTATGAGGCATAATGCAGCCTGTATCCATGATCAAATGACATACAGAGAAAACAGTTTTTCGTGCTATTTTGGAGTCCATGTTATCTTTACTTGCCCTGTTAATTTACTTTGATTTGTTGTTGCTATAATGTAACTATAAGCTTGATAAATTTTTCTGTGTTATCTGCCTCCTTTTTTTTTTTTTTTTAAACTCTTGATGTGTGAACTTTTATTTTTGTCAAACAAATGCCTTAATAAAAATCAGGAGATTCTGCTTCTGCAAAGAAGGCTAGCAAATGAAAAAAGACCAAACAAAAAACTATCAGTAAGTATTACGGCTTTTTGGGCAGCTATATGATCAGTGTTCAAAAAGTTTCTTCTGCATTTCCAGCAGTTTCTATAAAATTATACTAGCAGCCTTTTCCTAATTCTTTCATCACTGACCACACCTGGGATTTGCAGCTTCCAAACCCAAACCTATATTCACTATTTATAAAGTACTTTAGCTAGCCCAGGTACTGCCACCATTATACTGTTTAACAAAGGAAGTGTATTTGAAACTCGGCAACTGCCAAAATATTGCTAATCACAAACATCTCAGTAGTACTTCTTCTCTGGCTTGACTTCATTTCTATTTAGGACTTCCTTTTTATGCCCTTAGAAAAAGCTGTGTCACTTGAAAGTCAGCCTTTATACTCTGTTGGTGCAGGGGATAATTCTATTAGTAGAAGACAATTTTTACCTCTAATGAACCCTTATCCTCCTTTTCATCACACATTGTAAGTACACACTTCATGACTGTGATGTTTCTTGCCTTTCTCAAATATGAAACTAGGACCACTATTAAGATCAATGAGAGGTTTACTACTTCCTGGGTTTGTTTTTTTCCCCCTATGGTGAATGCAAAACTATTAATGAAAAATATGTATCCATTTTTTTAGTAATAGTCACAAATTATCATGTAGTATTCTGCATACTATTATCTCATCCACTCTTTAAATGAAGGAGCTAAACAATGAAGAAAAAAAACAAAACAACAGAAAGCTCCCACATCTACAGAGCCTAAGTTATTGATAGAAGGGGCACTCTGTAGCTGCCTTCAAACAGAGAAGGTTACCGTGAGCTAGGAGTCCATGTAACCAGAGAGCAGCATACAGCACTTGGCTTCTCAACACAGGAATTGGAGACCATTACTTTCAAAGACAGTAAAGTTAGTTGAAACAGCTATATTCTTACCTCATGAAGAATAAGCATTTCTTGGCTCTTACAATGTTGGTTTTTTTCCTGAAAAACTAACCTCCAATTTGTAGGGGGGGGAAAAAGCACCATGTGCAGTACACTCTTTGAAAGATCAGCTGTTGGCTTGCCCTATTGTGCAAACATCACGTTCTAGAAATCCACACCATACATACAAAAATCAACAAAAAAACCCAAATCAACAAAAAAAAACCAAAACCCCAACCAAAAAAACAAAATCCCCAAAAACCCACCACCACCAACAATAACAAAAGACCATCAGTCTGCAGAAATTATTTTCAAATTTAAGAGGGTTACTTCTATATGTTTGCAATTCCACAGGATTATAAAACGTGAAGCTATACATCTGCTAATGCTACTATTTTAATCCCAGATTTCAATATAATATTCCATGCATTATCTGTCAATACACTCCACTCTCTAAAGCCTTGGTATAAATCACTGGGTCAGTGAAACAACTAAATTCACTGACTCTGCAACATGTTACAGTTATTTTTAAGAGATATGGGCAGGTTAGGGTAGAAAATGTTTTAATTTCTCAGGCAAAAGGTGACAAGAACTATCAGTATTATGATTATTTCAGTTCTCTGCGTGTTTGTACAACCTTGCTATCTAATGGTATGGCATATTTATAGCTCACTAAAATAACAGATCTTCACTTGTCAGATACTGAAATACAGAAGGAAGAGATAGCACATTTCTTAAGAAGTACTTATGGGATTGAGGAGGTGTGAATCCTGTCTGAGAACGCACTATTTGCTTATCCTCATCTTCCCACTATTCAGCCATTTCAAATGGCAGTTGGGGGAGCAAACAATTTTCCCAGTTAAGCGATAAAGAGTTCTTTAACAGAGACAAAATGCACTGATTCTTCTACTAAAAATACGTTTTATTTCCTTACACTAAAGTTATCAAAAGTGCTTCTGAGAAATCCAGTAAAGCACACTTCTTCCAATTATAACTTTACATTCTAAAATAGCTAAATGCCAATTTTTAACCACCTTACAAGCCTGCCTTTTCTGTTTCAGCCTATCCCTTGGTAATTTAATCAGAAAAGAATGACATCTTTTTTTGCAAATTCATGTTTGTACAATTATAAAATCACTTTTCATCTTCTCAAGGCTGATCTCAAAAAAGTAATTTTTTACTTCATCCAAAGTATCATTATATGGTATTTATACCATCAAAACTCTAATTTCCACAAGACTTTAATGGTTAGTATAATTATTGTGCATTACTGTTAATCTGCAGACTCCTTCTGGGCATCTAATAAATATAATTACACTGAGTGTTGAATTTTCTGCTTCTAGAAAACAGAACACTTCACAAAGAATCATATTAAGTCTAAGCTTTTTACATCCTGTTCACCTTTAGCATTATCTGTGGTCTACGCTGTTAGTCAGAACTTCATGTCCATCTGCTTTGCTTCATCCTGTATCATCTGCCTATAAGGTAGGGCTTAATATAACTCTAAACCACTCCAAACTATCTCTGGTTGCTCTTAAATAATAACAATAATACAAACATGTATGGTCAAACATCTACTTCTTAACAGGTAAGACTGTAAGACTCACTTTTGCAGCAGATGGTAACTCATGACATGTTCTCATGAGATGTTGCTTGTATTTTTGTCTGCTTTCATCAGATGACTTCATGCTTAAAGATTCAACTTACTGGCCAAATCATGTAAGTAGGTCACAGTTTGTGTTGTATTCTATATACTTTTACCAAAAAGCTTTTTGCAAAAAAAATATACTCTTAACATTGTTCCTGTCTACCTTCTCAAATTCTACATAAGAAATAAATCAGTAACAGCCCAATTTATCTGTTTGGAATAATTGGTCCTGAAGCACTTCTACTGCAGGTGAAGGAGGTTATCTTGGTTTAACATCTTTTTAATCTGTTTTATGGTAAACATACTGAAGCAACACACCAGAAGTATTTCTAGACCTTTCTGAACTAGGAAAACATGGCTTAAAATATAGTTCTAATTTCTAAATAAGCTAGTTTTCATTAATTTGGGCTATAGCCCATTAGTACAGCTTACTACAGAATTCAATTTGGCATCAGGTTCTCTTTCCTGATGAAGTCAACTGCAGTGCACAGAAGGAAATACATTGTGTTGGGACTCTCATATAGTTCCCAAATATACCTACATATACACAAAAAATCAAATTAATTCTTACCTTCCAGGAGTGCTAGAGTTAAGCGCATGTAGACTTCTATGAGAAAAACTCATCCTTCACAAACCTATCTTATTTCATTGATGTTATATAAATTATAATAGACATGGAAGAAGGCAAGAAATGTTCAGAATACAAAAAACAAAACAAAACAAACAAAAGTACTTTGTTCCAGAAACATTAAAGATTGAAAAATAACTATGACTCCTCTTTTGCCCATTACTTCTTAATTTCTCTATTTTTCAAAACAGGTAAATTAACCAGATAATATGAGATAATTGCTTCTATATATTTTTGTAATCCCACAGCTGGTCTGGACAAAACCTCACGTTAACCCCAAACAATTCATACTGTAAGGCAAGCTCTTCAGCTGTAAGGACACACGAAGGAACTGTCAAGTGGAAGGTTCCACAAGCAAAAATTGTACTGCTTCAGAGAAAGGTTCAGTGTCAGAAACAGAAAATGGTTTTGCTTCCTTCTACCTTCCTTTCAGTTACTTTAGATTCACAAATTAATGAACGCTTCAGACAATCCTCATCTAGAACTGACAGGTATCATCACTGATCGTGACTTTTCGTAATGGTTGGTTTGACATTCAGACTTTCAGACATTCAGCTGACAGTAGGTGAGGCTACGGAAGATAAGCACATGGTCTGTGTTAAGGAAGACGAGCACATGGTATCTGGTGGAGAGCAAAATGCCATTCTGATGTTTATGCATGCTATCTGTAGAACTCTTTATTGTTTGCACTGTTATTATTGCCTTTACAGTGAAGGATCCTTTCCACACCAGGAGAGCTGCATTGACTATACTATTTATCTAGCTAAGATGGTATTTATTGAATAAATGTGAAATTCAGAAACATATACTAATGCTTTAGGGTTGATGCTAGTTGCTACACACTGTAATGATATTTCACAGGATCTCAAAGTACAGCTTGATGGCAAAGCTTTATTTCAAATCTATGACCTGCCTTCATGAGGAAAGAAGTGAACTTTTTAAGGAAAGAAAACAATTCTTAAATTATTCCTAAATTCTTTAGGCCCAGAATAATCTTTCTTACACAACTATAAACAGGACAAGAGGTATGTCTTTCAAGAGCTCCTTGAAAAGGCCTATGTCTCCACTTCTACCAGAACAACCATAAAAAAATGGGTATATGAAGCTGACTCCTACCTACTACAGCAATACTACTGTCCTTCTGAAAGGGCAGCCATTGCTGGTATAATTCCTACCTTCATGCATAAAAGGCAGCATGGAAAGGTTTTTGACACTTCACATAACCTATACAATGTTATCAGCGAGAAGAAGTGTACCTGACACCTCATCTGTCCTCTCTCTCTGTACCGTGCAGTGTTTCTGTGGGTAGAAGTGTAAGAGATGTGTCAGAGACATCATGAGATCCAGCTGTAAGAGCTTCCTACACATACAGACACAGTGACAATGAAGAATTAATTGTTAAGAAGAGAGTATCCACACTAAACATATTGGATGGGTGACTACTTCAGACAAGCTCTAGTCTGGTCCCAATACTTAATACTTACTAGAAGTCAGATTGCATTTCTGGGCTTACATCTTTTGGTTTCATTTTACCCCCATTAATCAAGTTTGTGTGCTCTGAGAATGCTCCAAAATGTGAACAAACAGTGAGTGAGAGCATGTACGTGATCAGAACTAAAACACTGATATGGAAGGATCCACAGACTACCAAAAATGACAGTAAGGTTCAAACATCACGAACAAGTATTTTTAATGGAATTACAAACATACTGTACTTACAAATCCAAATTGTGGTTCCTAGTTTCGGAATAGAGACTGTGATTCTGTGACTTTGCCGAGGAGGGAATAAGGTATTTAGATCTTAAAATGTTGCCTGCACTTAAGTTATTATAATCTAAATGTAAAAGCACTGCTCAACTATAAATTCCCTAGCTTTGTCACATTTGCATAGTATTCCTTTAAAACAGTGGTTACTCTCACAGAGAAGAGGTAATAACCACACAATATTCTGCTTCTAGAAGAGTATCCTTCTTTAAGTACACCACTGAAATATTTATACTCCTGTAACTTACATATTTTCTGGCAGTTCACACCTAACAGAGTCCCATTATCTCTTCTGCCTTTCAATTCCACAAGGCACAGGAGTGAGAAAAAAAATGAAATCTAAAAAAAAAAAGCCAATTATGCATGTTAATTTGCAACTCTTCAATAAGTTGCAATATAACAAAATTGAGGTGTAATAAATTCAGCAGCTGCTAATGAATGGATAATTGAGCTTGGAAACTCCCACTTGGAGTAAGCTACTTGTTTCTAAGTAGACTGTAACTGTTCCACACAGCTAGGTCCTATATGGTCCAGGGCAGTATTTACTAACTTAACAGCAAAACATCTGGAAAGGACAACCAGAATTCAGGGAAAATACTTCATTCCCAAAGAGACTGAGGCACACACCCATCTTTCTACTATGAACTAAAAAATAAAAATTAAAACCATATCTTCTGCTGACAGCAGTAGGAGACTGGTAATATTTTTTTTCTGCAGTCTGGCTGCCTACAGAAAAATAAAGACTGCAGAACACAGGTAATTTATACAGGATTTAAAAAAAAAAAAAAAAAAGCTATTTCTTCCCAATAGACTGAACACCTCTCATACCATAATGTGACATCTTTGCTTCCTTCAACTATTCCTTCCCGTAACACAGAGAGTTTTAAAATTAACTTGTTTGATCAAGTGCTTCTCAACCTCAGAATGCTTAGACAACAGAATATACTGAGAAGGATTAAAAGCTGATTTGCCTCATGAAATAAACAACACTGACTTCCACAAGTCTGCTATTTTTCAGTGCACTGAAGACAAGAAAACTCAAGGTTACACTTGGCCCAAAATCCCCAGGAAGTTACAAATAATCATTTTAACATGTATAGTTCAACACCATCTGCTTTCTAATTGTTCCTCTTTCCAGCTGCCTAATTTGCTATCAGTCCATCTGGATATGGAAACAATATTTTCCATTAATCCACTGTTCCAAAGCCCTGTCTTACCATGGACTCCTGATAGTACAAAGGATGCACTAAAGGCTTCTTAATCTTTCTGATTATATTATGAATATGATTTATTCTCATACACCAACACCACCAGGTTTTAACAAGAATCTATTAACAGGTTATAGCAGCCTTGTTCTGTTTTTTGGTCTGTCACGCAACATTGCCATGATGCACAAATCAAGAATGCTAAGAAAATGAATAATCTTAGAATCATAGAACCATTTAGTCTGGAAAAGACCTTTAAGATCATTGAGTCTAACCATTAACCCAGCACTGCCAAGTCGACCACTAAGCCCTGTCCCTAAGCACCACATCTACACATCTTTTAAATACCTCCAGGGATGGGGTCTCCAGCCATTAACAGTGATCAAACTTTATAATATCTTCTCAAGATGATCCAATCTAGCTGCTTTTACTTTGTGACTATCAATCTGGCTAAAACCTATCATGACTTTTTTTACATATCCAGTAATTTACTGGAAAGGAGACTGTGAATAGGCAAAAGACAGGTTAACAAATCACTTGTAGGACTTCTGAGGTGATCCATTTCCCAGTCTTCTAAATTTCAGCAATCTGAAGTAAAGAACATCGAGGTAACTGTTCTAGTGTGTGGAATGTATTGTCCTTCAGGAATGACGTAAGATCTTCATAAGCCATGTAGGGCATTTTCCATTTTCTCCCTGGATCCAACTCTATTTTACAATCTGCATCAGAGGTCTGGTAAGTTTCCTGAAGAGAACTTTTTCAGTGCAGAAATGTAACTAGTCAATTCACAAAACAGCAATAACAACAACTTCCAGGAAAAGCCTGAAAGAATTTGAATATTTACATACACAGAACATTGTCTGAACCAGTAGCAAACTTCACAGAATAACAAATTGTCCATAATAAACTAATCATCATGATCACAGAGTCCATGGACCATGGCAGTCTAATCTGCCATTAGGACAACCATTTATAGAGATCTGATCAAATAATCTTACCCAGACAGATTCTGACCTTTCTGTGGCTACAACAAATGTCCAGAAATGTTTCTAATTATTTATGCAAGTTCTAGAAAAAAAACAGTTTCACCTAAGAAAGCTGTAGGTTAAGCACTAAAGTTGTGTGTGATGACCAGAGGTACTCAAAACCAAGCAATCCATACTGTCACAGAGAAGCAAAACTACTTGAGATCCATGCTAGTATTCCATTTATACCTATAGGAGGTGGACAAGAAAGCTACCATTTTATGTTCTAGATATGACATTATCAGCTCTGAAACAAATAAATTACATGTGTTATGAGATCTTACAAGGTCAGTATATACAACATGAAGCATTCAATACTAGCAGTAAATTTACTTTGTCTCACGCAGCTTGAACAATAACTGACTCTCTCTTGGCAGCAAGCTTTTCATGCAAACTAAAGCCCATTCTTCCAAGCTACAAATACCATCACTCTATCTCCTTTATTTCACCTGACTATCTACAAACAATAATGGAAAACACAGAAAAGGAAAGAAAAAGAGGAAAGAAGGAAAAAATGTGTATCTGAAATGGAGAAGAGATCAACACTCACAGTTGCTAATAAATGATTTTTTTAATCTTCTCTCCTTCACTTCCACAATGATACTGCATAGGAACATGCTAAAACAGTCTGCTGCAGCAAAGGAATGGACAGGGTCAAACACTAGTAGAAGCTTTTTAAAAAGTCAGACCCTCTATGTATCATTTGAGGGATTTAAACCTATTTTGTAGTGTCACTGAAGAATACAGAAAAAGGCTGTACACTCACCTTTCTCCGTTAATGTGGACAAGTATGTAAGGTACTTCACATGAGAGAGAAATTTGGTCTGAGTTCACTTGACAACCTCCCTGTTTCCCTTTTTAAAGAACACAAAAAAACCATGTATGTCATGAACCCTGAAGACATACTATATGAAAGCTGTTTTGAAATCAGAGGACTTTATCTGTTTAGAACATGGGATGTGGATGAAAAGAGAGAA